CCTTAAATGTCGGTTGGTTTATGGGTCGTCTAACGGGTGGGTTTCAATTCTATTGTAGACCTAAACTTTCTTTAGCCCAAGTCTAGTTTATTTGTCTAGTAGGTGTTTAAACTTAGATTAGATCCAAAAAATCATTTTCATGCCCCNCTTCTCTATTCTCTCTACCAAATCAAGCAAACCCTAGAGGATCATTTTCGATCTACCTTCTTCATCTTCTCTATCCTTTCTACCAGATCATTCACCATGCCGACAAAAACAAGAGGATCGTCTTCTTCATCTTCAATCCCAAGAGAAGGGAGGATGAAACAAAACTTGGATCTACAGTTTCTCAATGATGAATGTAGAAAACATTGGGGTTGTTACATGTCACACCCAATTTTTCATAAAATGAGAAAAGTGAGTTTTAAAACCATAATAACCAAACTTAGGTTACTCTGGGTTTTCTTAGGAAAATGTTATAAATAGAAGTTAGGCAAGCTAGTCAATTTAGGGAAAAAAAATCAAAATTTCTAGAGAACCCACAAGAATATAAAGCCAATATCATTTATAAAATAGTAGTCAGTAACAAGATGGTTAGAGCATCAGACAATAAACAACATCATACCTCAATCCATAGTAATAGTAACTAGTAGATTATCAACCCACATCCATAACCTAACGANTAACCATCTCTGTTTTAAGTTTACATACTAAGCTTTAAGTAATAACAACCCAATAGTTTAGGTTACAACCCATCAGTCTAATATCAAAAATCCAACATACTAGCAAACACCAAAAAACAACCACCGGCGACGATAGTCAAGTGCAATGCTCATACTCTTCATTGACAGCCCTAGGCTCTCGATCTATCTCTAAAAAGAGTGAGCTAGATGGCCTAATAGGATAACTTTTCTCAAACATTATCAAGGTTTTGAAAAATAATATAGAATATACGAATGATATTCAGAACATACTAATGTTTGTAAATACAAAACAATTCCAGTGTATGTAACAGAAAACATGATATGCATGGTGAATTTTGTAAAACCATTGTAATAAAGCAAAATATATAATCAACTTGAAGGCCTTGGTACGTACAAGTATCAAAATAACCAACAAGATATAAACCCAATCCATGCATGAATAGTAACACACTCGGGGTCCTTTGGTGTCTCTTACCATAGGGACAATATGGCCTGCTTGTTTTTTTAGGAAAATTAGTACCAGACATCTATAGCACCACATGTGCAAGCACCCCCTCACCGATCTCCCAAGGATTTATAGGCACAACATCCATAAACTTTGCAGTGTTAGTTATTGGAAATATGAATACCAAGCATCCACAGTACCACACCGGCAACCACTGTCTCAGTAGTATCACTCACCAATTTTCTCAGCATCAATACTGTGTACCCATGCTTCCAGGTCAGGCCAAAACATTCTATAATAATAATATAATCATAACGGATGAAAATAAATAGCCGATAGTAATCCATTGTAGCAATTGGTTTTCCGTAATCCATAGCATCATTTAGCTAACATTAAATACATACTAATGTAAATCATTAATTTCAAACCATAGCACTGTAAGACGAATACAAATAAAACTAGCAAGATCACAGAAAACATGCTATGCATGATACCATGTTCGGTTCACAAATACCATGTTCGGTTCATAAATAAAATTTTTATATAACATATAGATTTAGCTTGAGATCTCAAAAAATAAATGGTATGAATCATTGATAAGAACTCAAAAAAGAAATCTTACGTCATGCCAAATAGCTTACCCGATACTGAGTAAGTTCCATATAGATATCCCAGTTTTGCCAAACACCTCATACCGTAATCCACAACATTTCGTTTACCCCTCTTGACCCTTTTATCTGTCTCAGGTTGATATACTATATAGGTAAGTTCTTAAAATAGCTTAGGTTTCTTGAAATGGTAAACTGTACAAAGGTGAAGACTATTTATAGGAGTACGACAGTTGGAAAGGCGGTGGGAGTATGAAGGCTAGAAAGGCGTTGAAACTTGTTCGAGCCCTAAAGCATTAGTTGGTCGACTGGCAACCGAATGGATTAAAAGTTGGTCGACTAACCCAGAATTCAGTTGATCGACAAAGTTTTCTACCGAGTTCCTCCTTGCCCTAGTTCATTGGCTAATTACCTTTTTACCTCCTTGCTTCTTAGTTTTTCCTTAACTTGTTTAATTATTTTATGGCTTTGTGGTAGGGGTGTTCAATCGACTGTTTGGGTCAGAAGTGGCTACTTCCCCAACCAACCCCAATTGTAGTCAGAAGTAAAAAACAAAACCGAGCCGAACCGAATTACAAAATCAACCGAACCGAAAATTGACCTTAAATGTCGGTTGGTTTATGGGTCGTCTAACGGGTGGGTTTCAATTCTATTGTAGACCTAAACTTTCTTTAGCCCAAGTCTAGTTTATTTGTCTAGTAGGTGTTTAAACTTAGATTAGATCCAAAAAATCATTTTCATGCCCCGACTTAAATTCCATAGTAGATCTAAAATTCCTTTGGCCCAAGCCCAATTAATTTGCCCAGCAAATCTATAAACTTAAATTGTATCCAAAAATCCTTTTCAAGCCCAAAACCATTTCATGTGCCATACATCATTTGAGCCCCAAACCAATTTGGTATTTTGTTTTACTGTACCATGAATTATTTTACAACCAGTAACTCAATCAAATAAGAACAAAAAAACATCATCATTAACATGAAAATAAAGTGTAGGCTGCAGCAACTATGCAAGTTTGCTTCAAAAGTAGTTATGCAACCACAACAGTCAAAACAGGTAAACCATTTACACCGCCAAAAATCAATAGTCTAAATACAAAAGTCAGAAGTCAGCATTCTTCAAAAATCTGCAGTGCACCATTCCAAAAATTTGGACTATCAATAGTCAGTCAGTCTGAGCAGTCATATAACCTGCAAGGGAAGTAATGCAAACATAGATTTATAGACAACACCATGATTCTTAACAAAATACTTAAGATTAATAACATACTAAATCATCAATAACAGTCGCATGACTTGCACTCCCATCCAGTTCTAAGATAAAACAAAAAAAGGATATGATTATATTTAGAGAACTAACATTATATAATAAAGAATAATAACAAGTTGAAAAAATAAAACAATATATACGTTACCTGAGTCAAGTTCAATGATTTCCATGTAATCCATTGCATCTCGGTCATCAAAATGATTTATATCTTTTAACCAATTCTGTGCACAAAATTGACTCGATTGTTTTTGGAGATAGTGAACTTTGAAATGGATATAGTACACACTCTCCTGTACTAAACGTAGGCTCAGAAGCAACTGTGGATATTCGAATAGCTAACACATCTTTTGAAACATGAGAAAGGATGGGATACTTAGTTTAATTCAGTTTCCACCAGTTAAGATATCAAATTCTGGATTTTTTGCCTCACAACCATAACTCAGATACTGGACAACTTCAGATTTGGTCTACAATTGAGCCCCACTTGATTCAAACTAAGCATATATATGCCAAAAAGGCCTGACTAGTATCTACAACACTCACACTTGAAGAACCAGGGTCAAATAAAGGAGGATTAGAGGCATTTCGTGACTGTCCCGCACTAGAAATTCCAAAAACTAATGCATACTCATCGTACAACCACTAAAACACATTTTTTACTTTNCATATAGATATCCCAGTTTTGCCAAACACCTCATACCGTAATCCACAACATTTCGTTTACCCCTCTTGACCCTTTTATCTGTCTCAGGTTGATATACTATATAGGTAAGTTCTTAAAATAGCTTAGGTTTCTTGAAATGGTAAACTGTACAAAGGTGAAGACTATTTATAGGAGTACGACAGTTGGAAAGGCGGTGGGAGTATGAAGGCTAGAAAGGCGTTGAAACTTGTTCGAGCCCTAAAGCATTAGTTGGTCGACTGGCAACCGAATGGATTAAAAGTTGGTCGACTAACCCAGAATTCAGTTGATCGACAAAGTTTTCNGCAAAGTAGAATCATAGAAAATCTTTAGAAATTTCACAAGAACCCTCACATTTTCCCAATCAAAATACTGAGGAGACCATAATGTCCCTTCACTAAAGTAAGAGACATATTGACCATCATCATCCTCTAATCTTTCAAAGGCCTTTTGATATTTTTGTGCAGCCTCAAGCATTAGATAAGTGGAGTTTCATCTAGTTGAAACATCAAGACACACCAAAGTCTTACAATCAATTCTTTTTTTGTCGACACATCTTTTAAAATTTTCCATCCTTGTAGGAGATGATCTCACATACCTCACAGCATTTCGCACCCTTATGATAGAATCATTATGTTCTTTTAATTCCTCACTCACGAAAAGGTTTAAGATATGTGCACAACACCTCATGTGAAGGACTCACCTCCTAATATATTACCCTTGATGTGTCTTCTTAAGTAATCTATACCAACATCATTTGAGGATGCATTATCAACTGTGATTGTACAAATCCGATCAATACCCCAATTGTGTAAACAAGCCTCCAATTGTTTCCCAATTGTGTCCCCTCTATGATTGGGAATTAAACAAAAAATTATAATTCTTTTGTTTAATTTCCGATTGCCCTCAATGAAATGAGCAGTAAGACACATATAGTTAAGGTTTTGAAGAGAATTCCATGTACCAGTTGTGAAACTAAACCTATTAGCCGAGGACCCAAGAATTTTCTGTAACTTATCCCTTTCATTTTGATAAAGTTTGATGCAGTCTCTAGCAACAGTCGTGCGAGACAGAACTTGGAACTTTGGCTCTAGTGTCCTACAAAACCTTTTAAAGCCATGGGCTTCCACAGCTCGAAAAGATAATTCATCCATAAAAACCATTTCTGCAAGTGTCAATCTTGTAGTTTCTTGATTAAACTTATGAATCACGACATTACTAAGACCTAAATCTCCCTCTGGTTTTTTCTCAAAACTTAAACAATTGTTGACTTTTATTCACATTTCTACCAGGAAATTTTGTGCAGCTGTGGTTCACGTAAAAGGTGAGGATGACGTACCATGCTTCTTAGAATCACATTGATAAACCTTGTGACAATATTTGCACTCCGCCCTGCGAACTTTGCCTTTTTTCATCTCTAAAAGTTTGAAATGATTCCACACCTTTGACTTCCCTAGTTTTTTATTTTTAGATTTCTCATCCTCATTAGTCTCCATAGGGTCATCAATCACTTCTGTAGCATCAACCAAAGTTGTATTTCCCTCCATCTAAATAAAAAAATAAATTGAATAAATTAATCACGCAAGCTTAGATAAAAAAAAACCAGATTCTATGAATACAAAAAAGGCACGAATTAGATAAACACAAAAAGAGAACATACATAAATAATTTGTGGAATGATATCCAAAAAAATAGATAGAATAATTTATGGTCAGATTCAACCTATAGTCATGAATGTCTAATTATTTATGGTCAGAAAAATGAACTTTAACTCGATCGTTGCAGAGAGATAGAGTGAAGTAGTGAGTTTCAAGGCAAAATAAAATGTATTGAAAAAATGTGTATAAGAAATTAGAGAGCAAGAAAAAAATTAAAAAAAATTAAAAAAAAAATGATGGTAGTGACTGTTTTCGAGTAGTGAGTTTCAAGACCATTGCTTTCGAAAAGCTCACTGCTTTTGAGCTTTGGAGCAGTGAGCAATGAGTTTCAAGACTCAAAAGTCACATAGTGAGATTCAAGACTAAAAAAAAATATATTTAGAGAGATGGATAATTAGAGATAATGAAAGAGAAATTTATTAGTCAAAGAAAAAAGGGTTGAGATCTACTTCTACTCGATAGTTGATGGCACCATTCGACCTTGAGTCTTCAGATTTGCTCAATAGGGCTGAGGTATACTTCTACTTGATCATTGATGCCATTCTATGGTCGATGGTGGATTCATAGATGAAGAATACTAGAAGAAAAATAGGTGTTTTTTCCTTTGTGAGAGAGAGAAGAGAGAAGCGGCGGAAGAGAAGAGAGACTGAGATAGTGAAAGTAGGGTTAGTTTGCTTTTATATTTTTGTTTTTTTATTTTTTTTAAAGGACAAGTCTAGACGGTATATATAGATATATATTATTAAATATTATTCGGGCGGGTCGGTTATTTCAATTTTGGACTTAAAGGTATCCGAAATCGAACCGATTTTATCGATTAATCTTTCTTTTCTTCCGAAATTGACCTGGAATAAATATTACCTGCCCCTTTTTTGTTTGAAAGGGTCGATTTCAGATCGGTTTATCGGGTTATTGGGTATTTTGCGCAGCCCAACTTTGTGGTATCTCCCAATTACCCTTTCTTGGTTTTGGAATTCTTATCCTTATATTCTGCTTATCTAAGTACCAATTTAATATTTTACCCCTGATGTTCTCATTTTTAAGTCGACCTTTTTCCCTAAAATTCCATATTTATTATCCTGGTATAAATTTGGTTTATGAACTTCTACATGGAACAATTATTACCAATCCTCTTTCCTCTTCAAAGTAATTTTACCAATTCCCAACCTCCAAATTAAAGGTTTAGTTTTACATAGAGAGTTGTCGATAATTAGAGTATATACTTTTTGATTAATTTTTCAGGCGGGTTTATAGTTAATCGCCCTTAATAAAAGTTTGTCCTCGAAACATTGAGTGGTTGGATGATTCTGTCATTAAAATTTAAATACAACATACGAAATACTAGCCTTTGTTATATTTTTCCTTAAATCCTTTAGTCCTTATACTAAGCTATTTCGTTCGAATACTAAGATTATTTTTATCTACTTGTATCTTTTGTACATCATAGAAGTAATATTCTTCTTACGTGTTGCGAATCACTATTCCACTCATCGATTTGCAACATATATTTATGCAAAACTAAATTCAACCTCCTACCTGTCATACATTCATGAGTCATTACAATTTCAAAAGTAGAGATCTCATTGAAATGTCCTGCCTTTTGCACTACACTGCTAGAAAAGAGTTTGGTAATCACCCTAGCAGTTGGAACCATATCCTTTAACTGGATAATTTTGGTGTTGTTATAATGCTCCCCACGCAAGGCACGAAGGGCTTGTAAAGGTTGGGGAATGCTTCCCTCAATTTCACCCCCATACCAAAATAAAATCCGTTCCTCACTATTAGGGGGTTGCAACATCTCCGAAATCTCCACTAAGTTTAACTCGGTTTATACTCCTCCAACTAATGACGTTATACTATGCTCCACCGCATTGGATTGTTAGTTAGCATAAAACCAACACATTAAATTCTATCTGCTCTAGCATGGTATATATACCCAGATGTGAAAGTTGGAGAGGGTTGATAGGCTTACCGCAGAGAATCTTGCAATCATGGTACTTGTCCCAACGCACCCAGGCTTGTTTATCAATGAGTTGGATCACTTTTTCCTTCTACGACCTCTTTTCTCCCGCCTAGGATCCACAACTACCACCTCTAGTTTTGGGAGGAGCCATGGTATAGACTTTGGTTTGAGGGAGATAATGGATTTAGGGTGTTTGGTGTTGCGGGTGAGGATCTTTATGGAGAAAGTGATGGATATGTGCACTTGAATAGGAATGGGGGTACTGGGCATAGTTCTAAATAATGGTAATGGTAACGGAGTAACGGATGCGGGATAAAACGAACATTATGTAACAGTAACAGATATCGAAACCGTGAATTTTTTGTTTTCGATCACACCTCTCCCAAAAAGCAATTTTATGTATTTTTAACTCTAAGCTTATGTAAATATAGGCCTTTTGTGATATGGTATAAATTTTATTATATAATAAATAATGTTTTATGAATTTATCTTTTAATCATTGTATGATAAAAGATTTCTAGTAACTTTTAATTGAAAGCAATCCACTTAAATATTTTTGGGAGAATTTAGAAACCATAGCCAATTGAGGTTTATCTAGAACATTTTTTTTATTATGGTTATACATTCCTAAAAGATGGAAAAATATTAGCAAAATACAAAAAAAAAATCTATTAATTTTATTGGCCCCAAGCTAGACCTATTTTCTACATTTGGGCTAACTTATATCTCTTGGTTTCACAACAAAAGGCAACTTGTCTTTTCACACATAATAACCAAGCCCTAAAACTAATGTCTTTTATCTCCTTTTCTCTTACGTCCATCTACCTCAGAGGAGCACCTGCATAACAGAGCCCCTCGAAGCTCAAAAACTGATGCCGTTAAAGAGGGACCAGGGTCTACACATTTCTTTCTCTTAATCTATATTCTTCTCCTTTCATATATTTTCTAATTTTCTAGTAACAAAAGCAAGGGTTGTTGATGTGTAATGGCTGAATAACGCGTTGTAATGCCTCTGTAACACCCATTATGAGCGTGAAATTTTTATTGGCTGTTAAATCGAGGTGTAATGTTATCGTCAACCTCCATTACTGTTACGTAATGATCGTTACTATTATGTAATGGCCAATTTTCCAAACCATGGTAGTGGGTATCGGTGTAGAAAGGAAGATTTGTGAAAAACTGGTTGGAAAACCCCACTTTATAGCCACAAAACCAGCATCAGTGGGTTGATTATAACGCCCCAAAATCCACCTTGGACTGCATTACAATCTATAAACCATTCACACCATGAGAGCAACTAAATAATTTCATCATTAAAGAAATTTCAACCATCAAATATAATATTTACAATATTATCCCAAAACAATAAGCAAACCATGACCTTTACATTCCAAAAGAATGTGATCGACTATGATAATTATATCCTAAAAGAATCACATTTAAACTTGCAGCGGAATAACAAAAGGTCAATCTTTACAAAATCTCAAAAGAAATTTTCTAGTTTAGCACCTAGGAGAGTATAACTCTAGACATCCACCTCGGGATCCATGAGCCCGTCTAATGGAGCTTCCCAATGTGTCGGCTCCTCAACCCCGAGCTCTTCCTCCAGACCACAATCTAAAAAATATG